TGGTAATACAGCGTTTCTGTGTGTGTGTGTGTGTGTGTGTGTGTGTGTGTGTGTGTGTGTGTGTGTGTGTGTGTGTGTGTGTGTGTGTGTGTGTGTGTGTGTGTGTGTGTGTGTGTGTGTGTGTGTGTGTGTGTGTGTGTGTGTGTGTGTGTGTGGTGTGTGTGTGTGTGTGTGTGTGTGTGTGTGTGTGTGTGTGTGTGTGTGTGTGTGTGTGTGTGTGTGTGTGTGTTGTGTGTGTGTGTGTGTGTGTTGTGTGTGTGTGTGTGTGTGTGTGTGTGTGTGTGTGTGTGTGTGTGTGTGTGTGTGTGTGTGTGTGTGTGTGTGTGTGTGTGTGTGTGTGTGTGTGTGTGTGTTGTGTGTGTGTCGCCTCAACTCTTATTTGAACTAGAATGGAAATCCTCCTCCTCAGTCTGGAGGTCCAGAAACGTACACAAGTTAAACAACCGCTGAAATGAAATGTGTCTCGTAAATATTTAAAACAAAAAGGGAAAATGTATGTTGCATTCTTACGAGCATGAGATGCACATTGCTGATTGCTGATGAGTCATTGATGTATCATCAGCTTCACCTTCTGTGGCTTTTTATAATTTGCATGCCTCTCAAACGCACATATTAGCACCGCACGTGGCATTTCCCCTGCTAAAGTCAGACACTGAATTTAAAAAGAATGTCTTACAAAACACGTGAAAGTATTTCAAATGTACTTCTTAAAAGAAACAAGCGCAGATGTGTTTTATTTTACAACACAATAAACCAGTTAACCTACAGACAAACATTTATTAACTTAATGTATTTAGTTTAGTCCTAATATGTATGTAATTGCTGCAGGGGCCTGGCAGCTTTTTTAGGGATATGTAGACAACAAGTTTATAGAAAGTGACCTCTTGTCCATTTATTTATTTACCATTTAATATATCGATAAATTCATCAAGTTATATTTGTTTCAAATATATTGTTTTTATTGTTCCCCTTTTAGAGAGATTTAAAAAAGATTGAAGATACTGAAGATTTATTGCATAATGAACATGCAATGGGCTTCAACTTTAATGACTCAATATTTATTTTCCCCTTCTTGTTTTCACATATTAGTAGTTGTTTTTTCCTTGACATAAAGACTTCCCTTACTGGCAAAAGTGTGTCATAGTGTTAAAAGCAGCCTTATGGAAAACACTATGACACTTATTTGAGAAAAAAAACGACATTCATCAAATTCCAATGTAACTGTGTTTGGTTATTATTGAAAAACCCAAGAAGCTGCAATATAAAGAACACAATGTTGAATGAGTGTTAATCCTTCCAATAATACGTGACCTGTTTTTACACCTTTCTTATTGTGAGACTGAATCGAGCACTATCCCCTTCCTGCTTCAACTACTGAGACCATATTTAACACCCGCAGTTCATCTTCTAACTCCTTTGCACGCACAACATGAAAAATGTAAAAAAAGAAAGTAGGACCTGATTGTTTGAATAGGTGGATAGATATGTACTGTGAGTCTTTCTTTAATGTAAACCATGTACCTTAAAAACGTATAAACCCCCAAAGTTCCTTCATCATGTTACTTAATTTGGCATTTATTGATTTTTGATGTGCTTTAATGTAAATTGAGTTGTGCATCCAGGGCAACATTGGACTCTTGCTCTGGTCTCTCCTACTCCTGAAGGTACCAGCTAGTTGTTAACTGTGTCTTTCTGGTGTTTGGTGATGAGCAGGTATTGTAGGGTACAGGGTTTTTTTTTTTTTTTACTGAAATCTGTTCTTTCCTGCATCTCAAAATGACACAAGAGTTGAGAAAGTGAACCAAACGGTAGCAAAAAAACAAAACAAAGTGATGCCATAAAGCTCTGTAGAGCCGAGCGAAAGTGCGTTGTGTGATAATAATCAATTTGTAACAAACAATCATAATGTTCTTACACTCAAACATATTAATTTAAACCATTGCTCAAAACATTAACATAGTACAGCTTTAAGTTGAGCATTTTCTGATTAGTTTTTTGTAAGAGAGCTTAATATGAATGGTGGACCAAGGTAAAAGTGTGCCACTCATTTGAGACACAGTGTGAATACAGCTCAGTCAGTTCCACCCAGTTGGTGGATGTTGCTGCTACTCTAACAAACCAACAGGTGGAGCTAGAGTCTCGTCGGTATCCTGCAGTGACGCTGGTTGTGTGTCATCACACAGACACACTACAGGAAAATGGGCAGTCATTAAGTGTCTGTGAGTGTCTCCACTTCTATACTTAGGCTTCCAGAGACAATTTAAACATGCAGGCAGATGCTAAATGGAGCTGCTGAAGCCTCTGAGGTCTGACGTCTGAAGCAGTCCCTCATGGTGGACTGTGCAGATGGTCTGGTCAGATGGTCCGGCACATCAAATGGGGATAAATCATGATCAAATGAAACATCAGTTTACAGTTAAGGTGTGTTAGTAATACATATTTTACTTAATGAAGTAAAAAAACTAAGCCAAATACTCTGTTTTCACTGCATAGCCCACTGTGACACTCTTACAATGAGCTGCAACTACACAGTAAATTTCTCTGAGTAAAATTGACTCAAATTGAAGAAAATGTTACTCTAAAAATATTACATTTGGTCCCAACCTATATAGAGTAAAATGTACTCTTTGTTCAGAGTTGCATTTTTAGAGTTCATTTTACTCTATTATGTGCTTAGATTTGACTCTGCTTAATGGTTATTTACTCTATGTAGTGTATATTAAAAACAACTCTACTGCCATTTTACTCCCAATCGAACGTCATTTCACTCCAAATAGAAGGTAATTTTACTCCAAATAGAAGGTAATTTTACTCCCAATAGAAGGTAATTTTACTCCAACTAGAAGGTAATTTTACTCCCAATAGAAGGTAATTTTACTCCCAATAGAAGGTAATTTTACTCCCAATAGAAGGTAATGTTACTCCAAATAGAAGGTAATTTTACTCCCAATAGAAGGTAATTTTACTCCCAATAGAAGGTAATTTTACTCAGAATAGAATAAATGAACCATAATGATCTTTATAATAAAAAAGTTCAATAAACCAAAGTGCTTAAGTAACACGAGTGGGCGTGTGTGATGCTGACCATTGAGCGGCCCGACCAAGCAAGCAGGCAGAGAGTTAAAATACAACCCGGTGTGGGCATTTATTCATCGCTGTGGTTCATGATACACAGCCTCAATATGACTGTCTCACATGAACACAGTCACCAGCAACAAGGACCTCACACACACTAACAGGAAAACAGAACCTAAATACACACAGGACTAATCAAACCAACAAAACACAGGTGAGGAGGGAGGAGAAAACACAGGGGCACCAGGTGAACAGAATCACCAGCAACAGACAAGACGGGAGGGGGAACACTTTTCAAACTACAACAGGAAACAGAGACAGACAAACTAAAACATAGACAGATCGTGACAAATAGATGCATAAATGACATAGATTCACATGCTTCCTGTGCAATGTTTTAGCGTGGAACAAAGTAATATACTTCGCCAAAAATTAAGCTATATAATATAAGACACCGAGATCTACGCCCCCAGAGATCACCTCCGTTACAGCGTGGTCATGGTTTGACTCAATCAATCAATCAATCAATCAATCAATCAATGTTTATTTATATAGCCCAATATCACAAATGTTACATTTGTCTCAGTGGACTTTACAGTTTGTACAAAATATCAGTATGACAATACGACACCCTATGTCCTTAGACCCTCACATCGTACAAGGAAAAACTTCCGAAGAAAACCCACAGTTTAAAGGGAAAAATGGGAGAAACCTCAGGGAGAGCAACAGAGGAGGGATCCCTCTCCCAGGACGGACAGACGTGCAATAGATGCCGTGTGTAAATTGAAAAGATAGTACATTTGCAACATAGGTAGTCCAAATGTTTGGAAATGCATGTGTGTATAATAGGAAGATGAATCCACGAGGATATCCATCCAGGACCTATGATCCAGGACCACAGCCACGACTCAAGATCCAGGGCTCGCGATGCAGGACACAGGACCGCAGGATCATCCATGACTCCGGATCCCAGCGTATATAGACACCAAAAAGAAAGAAATGTGGGGAAGCTGGGTTAATCGGAACATGAGAGTACACAGGTATAGACAGAGAGAAGGAAGAAGTAAGATGTCCCCCGACAAACTAAGCCTATATCAGCAAAACTAGGGGCTGAATCTAATCAGCCCTAACTATAAGCTTTATCAAAAAGGAAGGTCTTAAGCGCACTCTTAAAAACGGATAGGGTGTCTGCCGCCCGAACACAAACTGACTCCAATAGAATTGACTCTTTTGATCGCACTCTAGAAGCTATGAGTAATAAATACACTCCAAAATGATTAAATATCACTATTTCAGAGCAAAATAGTAATTACTCTGGAAAAAATACTCACCAATATTTCCTGTGTATACAGCTTAAATATAGTGGCCAAACAATCTCTAAATATCTACTTCTTTTTGTATCACTTGTAGCCTTATCACACTATTTAGCAGCGGAGGGAATTAGAATTGTTATATAATTTTTTTCTTTGAAATGTGGACTCACAATTGAACTTAACCAATACAAATATAGAAAAATATAAATAGAAAAATATAAAACATATTACTATGACTAACACGGTTGACTTTTCATCAATGTTGGCATGAAAGTTATTAGTTAGAATTAAACGATTTTTAATAATCTAGTCTACTGCTTCTCGCGCTGTGAAAATGAATTTGGTTCTTTGCACTCTGTGAATAACTGAGTCACAATCCAGTTGTTTTCACTGACAAAGATCACATCATAAAATACATATTTGCATGCTGCATAATTTCTTTGGGCCCACTTGAGCAAATTAGCCTTTTACCGATTCTTATTCATGGACAAGAGAGATATTTGAAGCATGACGGAATTTTTTTAAATATTAGGCTTATGTTTTTATAGGGAATTCAATGTAACAACTCTTGGGTACAGAAATAAGTCATACGTGTAAGACACCACAACATTATCAGGTTTGTTGTGATAAAGAATATTTTTTTATTTTGTATGTACAGTATTTACAGGACATTCAATAAAGCCACGTTTTAGTGCAGAACAACCTTTAAGAGATATACTATATCTACTATGATGTAAAACCTCTCAGAATCACCAAAAAGAGAAATAATTTAATTAAAGACAAACCTTAAAAGATCAGTCAAATGGATCCCAAAGCATGGAAACAATTTAAAAGGTAAACATTCGTAAATAACAAGTTTGTTTTCTAGTGGAACACAGATTTTAAATAAGGGTTCTGATTTTAACGATAAAGAAAAATGCATATTACCGTCACCATTGAGTAATTCAGGAAATGCAATGAGTCAGATTTGAAATCTGGGGAATATGAGGGCGATATTTTGAAAAGACCACTGAGCATTTCTGAAGTCTTTGATTGTGAAAAATTCCTCTGAAAATACTCCCTCAAATCTCTTTGTTGTGAATCACCTTCTACTTTAGGACTGTCACTGTAGTTTGGAAGTTATGGCAAGTTTAAAAAAATGTTCTAACTAGAAAGTAGGTTTACTGTGATACAATTTTCCATTGCCTTCTGAGATCTGGCATTTTGTCATCCAAAATAATCACCCATTTATTCCAAACTTCAAATCCTTGGATTAAAAGCTACACTTTTGCCGGCAACATGATGTCAAAGCATGAGAAACTAAACTATTTGTAAGAGGAATGGCATTGGATGTGCTTTGTGTTTGTTTCCTTTTCTTTAGTTTAAACAGCCAGACGAGAGTTTCCATTTTTAAAAACAAACAGTTTGTGGCTAAATCAAACTAAGGGGAACAGAAACACTTAGATCAGCTTTATAAATTCAATCAAATCCAGTTAAACAGAGGGCTTCTGTTTAGCAAACACACTATAATGTCTACTTTAGCATTTAGCCCTGTGTTAGAGGGAAGAAGGTACGGAGACTCGGACCCACAACAAAGCAGAGTCTTCATTCACAAAACCAGTATCACTTTAACATCAACACTTCTGACGAGGCAAAGTCTCTCCCTGGTTTCTCTGAGCCATTTTGCAGTTTTAGTTTCCTCCTCCTCTTGGTTGTCTCAGTCTCTCTCTTTCTGTCTCTGAGTGCTTGTCTCATATGATTTCCAGAACATCGCAGGGCACGAAGCCTCTCTTCTTTCCACTCGCCACTCTGATGAAGCCGCTGTGTTCGCCCTCACTGCTCACACAGATCTGAGGCAAATAATGAAAATGTACTTTAATAGAAATTGAAAATAACCAGTGCAGTCAAACATACAATAAAACATTTGATCAATGTTAGTAACAGATGGAAGGACACAATATCTGATACTGATGTGAGGTCGATATATATACTTTAAAGTAGCCCTGTTGTCTTTTTTGGCTCCTAGGCTGTTTCTCATGTTTTAGGTTAGGCATTAGGGGTGTAACTGTATCCGTATTCGTCCCGTACCGTCACGGTTCGGACGTCACGGTTCGGCACATGCAGTCACACGGCGAATACGCCTTTTTTTACGAGTGGGAAAAAAGTCTGTCACTCAGGGCAGTATATATACAGTATATATATACTATATATACTATATATAATCCAGGGGGCGGTATTGCGCCTAAAAGCCAGCCGGCCGTAAATAACAAATGAAGAACAAGAACAAAACACAACAAAACGAACACAATACATTAAGAAGAACAGTTAGTAGCTATGGCGAGTTCACACAACACACAGGAGCTAGAAGACCCACCTGCTTCTTTTAAATCAGGTGTGTGGGAACATTTCGGGTTCCCTGTGGACTACAACAATGATGGGGTGCGAGCGGTGGATCGGACGAGGACGGTGTGTCGGCGTTGTTCGACAGCTAGTGGTAACACGTCAAACATGCTCAATCACATCCGAGTCAGTCTCAGTCCCCAGCGAGAGGGTTTTCTCGACGGCAGGTGACATAGTTACCGCCAACAGATCTGCCCTCACTACTGACAACGTAGACAAACTCATCTTTTTGAAGAACAACTTGAAAATAGAGTAAAGCTTGAGTACCTTTATTTAGGCATAATGGCCTCACACATTCACAAGTTAATTACACATGTTAGACATTGCTCCTAAAGGTACAGATTTTATTTAGTGTTTTATTTATCATTGTATTTATTTTATATTTAGACATCAGGAGATGTTATACAGTTCTGTATTGCCTTTTATTGATTGTGATTGAAACACTTTATTATTTATTTAAATATTTTCAAGACATTCTTTTTAGTTGTACAGCTTATTTAACCTTTTTGTTTGACATCAGCCAATATAAATAATATGGCCATGATCTGAGTGTGTGTGTTACTGTTTGTGGTTTGTTGTTAGCTGACTGTGTAATACAGTTAATGATTCCAAATATTAGAGTTCCTTATTTTCATACCAAAACTTGCACTACTGGTGAAAATAAATAACAGCAAAAAAAAATTATGCATTTGGGACTTTTTTTGCTTTTCCTTGTTGTACCGAACCCGTACTGAACCGTGACCCCCAAACCGAGGTATGAACCAAACCGTGACTTCTGTGAACCGTTACACCCCTATTAGGCATGCATCTACTTTGATAACCTGTCAGTTTTCATGTTGAACTGTTCTACAACTACATGCTTTATGGTATTTTGCAAATCTAATAGTCAATAAAGATTTGTATGTATGAACTATAAAGCGCCCACATGTCGTCTAGTCTAAACATAATCAACAAAACTTCAATTTAAATGTTATCTTTGTCTCTCTCATCTCTGTTTTTATGGTCCAGCTCAAAGGGACAATTTACAAACGCAACCTATTTTTAAAGATGATGATGATGATGTAGTTGTGCTTGTTTATAATATTGCTATGATTATTAGATGCCCTGAATGACCCTCTTGATAGATTAGAACACATTGTATCTGCATACTGGCTTTTAGTACGCTCCAAAACCTTCCCCTGGGTTTTGTGTCAACGGAAAAGACAGGCAGCGGTTCGTTTTATCAGCGGTTTCATCTCCACTGGGGGTTCTTTACTTAAAATCCCAACATGTCCTGGAAAGCATTGTGGGAAAAAAGGGGCATGACCTAAGTAGAGCCATTATACCAAAATGGTAATCTAATGGTTACTCCGGCGAAGGATCCTTTCAGCAAACTCCAGTCAATCTTTTCAGGTTATAGGTGAATGCGAGGGAAGAGTAAGGGGCAACGTGGGGGCTGCAGGAGGGTAATAAGATGGCTAAAGAGCTGCTGGATGATGTGAATCTGATGAGCTCTAATGACAAGAGTGTGATCATGAATTACACCCAGGTAGAATGTGGAAGTTTAAATATTCACTCTGAAGGTCATTGCTCCCCTAACCCATAATGACAAGGACGTTCATGTGATCAAGACTGCTGATCCATCCATCCATCTTCTCCCGCTTATCCGTGGTCGGGTCGCGGGGGTAGCAGTTCCAGCAGAGAGCCCCAAACTTTCTTTTCCCTGGCGACATCAACCAGCTCTGACTGGGGGATCCCAAGGCGCTCCCAGGCCAGCGAAGAGATATAATCCCTCCACCTGGTCCTAGGTCTACCCCTTGGTCTGTTCCCAGCTGGACGTGCCTGGAATACCTCCCTAGGGAGGCGCCCAGGTGGCATCCTAACTAGGTGCCCGAACCACCTCAACTGGCTCCTTTCGACGCGAAGGAGGAGCGGCTCAACTCCGAGTCCCTCCCTGATGACCGAACTTCTCACCTTATCCCTAAGGGAGACACCAGCCACCCTGCGGAGAAAACCCATCTCGGCCGCTTGTATCCGACAAGACTGCTGATGTTTCGTTAATTAATAATGTGTTTTGTGTTGTTGTGGCTCTAAAGGCAGGCAATTGACTTTAACAACAATCCCACTGTTACAGTTTGTAAATGGGTTTTTTCCCCAAAAAAATACACATAAACTGAGCTATCTAGCCTGTTATACGTTTGATTGATGGGTATTTATCTGGCAGTTTTAAGAATGTACCTCTACATAATAAAACATTTGTGTTTGGCTTATAATCAATGCTATTCATTTATTATCTTATTCCTTTTGCAAGATGTTTATTTATAATTATCATATTTTTACTATCATACTTGCATTTTGTTGTATTTTGCTGTCGTGAAGCACTATCTACTACTATGTCAAAACCCAGAACAGGAAAACAGAAGAAATATAACACGGAGAGTTGCAGATGCAGAAGATAAAGCAGGCCATAATTACAGGGCAGGATAATGAAGGATATAAATAAACACTATTTTAGAAGGGACATCCTACAGCCTGTATTTATGTTAAGACTTTACACTTAACATGTCGATAATCAGCCTATCATCAGCCTATACTCATCATCATCATCATAAGGTTTATACAGTAGGTGTGTACAGTACCTGTCCCTCCTTTAAGGTGATCTGTCCTTGTTCCTTACAGCCGATGAATGTCCTGTTACACCTGAACACTTGGTCCTCAATCCCAGCCTGATGAACATAGGCCGCCGGGAAGTAACCGATCCTGTCCTCAAAAACCCCCTGAAGAAATATATGGAAAATAAACCAGTGGTTAGATAAAATCCTTAAAACACAGTACAGTACATTACTTTCTACCTATACACCTGGTTCATAGATATAAAGAGGATACGCTACGCTCACCTTCAGTACCTAAACATTGTACTGTGCATGTGTAACAACAGTATCCATATCAAACTGACCAGATGTCTCTGTTTATCTACAGCCGGTAGAAAACAGCAGCAGTGTTAAAATGCGTGATGAGTTTCTTCATGGTCTGGTGGTAGCAGGCTGCCTCTGGACAGTCACGTTTTCACCCTTTTGTCTACCCAATGTATCTGTCGTGCAGTTGTGTCAGCCTGTTGCCTCGCTCATATAATTTAGAGCTCCACTTCTTATTTGGGCATTTTGGTGCTTTGTGGAAAATCCACATTTCATGTAAACCGTTCAAAACTGCTTCCGTTATCTTGTAACTTTTCATCTTTGAAGGTTAATTATAATATAAACAGAAAATGTTTAAGATGACTTGTCACTATTCATAATGGTGTTATGAGTTGGTTTTGAACCTACCTTCCACCAGTCATCATTCGAGTCGTCAGCCACTAAGATTCTGTCTCCTGCGCTGCAATATAGAGCACAAAAGACAAAGATACTGAAAAAGGGAACGTTTTCCTCCTCTTATCTTCATGGTTTGATGAATCTATGTATAGTGACAGAAATCCCCTTTACAAAGTAAGTAATAATAACCACATCAGTAGTCATTTAGCTAACAGTATAAAAGTTCATTGGCTAGAAACGAGAATCCTGTTCTATTTGATTTCTATGAGAAATTGTTGACTCTTTGTATAATAAGTTTTGTGATTGTTTAGAAGTGAATCTTCCACTGTTGTCATGGCACACTTCATATCTGCTGTACAGTGCAACAGGGTGAATCAGATAGCACCTACAAGTTATTGTATCTGTCAACAATAAGAGAAGCTGCACCTCTTCACTTGATCTCTCTGACAGGCCCTCTTGTATAGCCAAGCAGATGAAGGTGTTTGTGGGGTTTTTCCGGATGCACCTTAGATCCTGTTTGCTTTAAGTAATTGTTCTTTGTCCAGTAAACACATGAATCATTTTACCGCATGTGCCATAATTACAAACATCTGTTCCAAGCCGTTGGCTAAATTTGATCAATAAAAATCAAAAGGGCCAGCGCAGTTGAGCCAAATGTTGGCTTACGTAATTTCCCCATTTTCTTCTCTTTGTGGTTCGGTTACAACACTGGCTGTGCTCTGTAATGCTCGCCATGACTCAGAAAAACACAGTTTATTGCAGGTGAGAAACAGCATAGCACCCGGTGTTATTAAACCTTCTAGGGTGAAAACAAAGTACACCTGTTGTTTCTTAAAGAATAACAGGAAATACCTTGTGAGCATCTCTTTTGAGTGCTGTGCTTCAAAACCACTTAAAATAAAGGTTTGCTGAGATCATTGTCCTTTAAATAATATAAAGACTGACGAGTGGGTTATCTAATTCTGTATTCTAGCAATGTATAAATGTTCATGATTACAATCACCACACAGTGGAAGGTAATCATGTAATCAGAGCATGTGGGGCCAACTGAAAATAGTCACAAACCTGATTTTCTCACTTAAAATATTCCACTTTTTCCTCCATTTGAACTTTTATGTATTGATTACTGTCTGCAGCAAAACCCAGAGGAGAAATAGGCTCTCATAAGAGAATACATTCAAAGCAAAGCTTGCCAATGGGGGACAGGGAGTGCAAGATCATTTTATTTCCAATGAATTTTTTGAATTGAAGTATTGATTGAAGTATTTTCTCAACGTGTGTGAGAGAGAACAAGTGCACCTCTTGAATCCTAACAGAATACCTGTGGGGATCAAGAGCAAATGGATACTTAGGCTGAAGGACTGCTCATGATAAATGCTCTCTTCCTGAGGGTCTTTACAAAGTATGTCACTGACGAGGCCCTATCAATCATGGTTAAGAAATGAGATACAATCTGGAGCCTGCGTTTCAGATTGTATTCGAGATAATTAGACAGACGCCACATACCGGTATTCAGCTGTTTCTACTTTAAACCTGCATCAACAGTTCCTTAGCCACTCGTGGGCAATGAAAACAAGTTACGACTAAATTGTTAGCAAGGTTTTTAATTTACACATCCCGCAGTTTCAGAGCAACATTTTAATTTATTTTGGAGTCATGTTTATGTTCACATAATGGTTGTGAGTTTGTGGACAAAAAGTTAAGTTGAGGAGCGGAGAGTTAAACAACAAGTTAAAAAGTCACTATAAAGCTCTGTAAAGCCAAGAGCAGCTGCAGATCCAGCTTATAATTCTGTGTAGGTTTGTCACTATGAGCGACTCCTTTCACATTTATGATTTGATGTTATTGTCATTCAGAGTAATTCGACTGAATCACGGAGGATGGAGAACTGCAGCTGCACAGCTTTCAACAGCTTAAAACACTTCACTGACAATGATCAGGTGTTTTCAATTAACTGCCAACCAAAACACCCAATGTGACTTTTAAATAGGCCAGCAGACATTTTGACTTGTCACAGTAGAATAATTCACAACTGTGAATAATGCAATTGAAGGCTAAACTTAGCTGCTTTGACTCAACTTTCACTGCGACGTGAACAAAGCAGGGGCATTGTCAGTATTGTTCCTAACACCTGTGCTTTTCCTACTGTCACAAGTTATAATGTCTGCTGTTATAAACGCTCCTAATGGTGTGTTCAGCAGTTAAATGTGGTTAAATGTTGGAACACACATCAACTTTTTGACAGTTTCCCAAGTTCATGCTACAAACAAAGTGTATGCAATATTTCTCTGGACACCAGACTACTAAATAGTCGAAATTAGCGTGTATATAGCTCATGATATTAAATGTAACTGCCAGTGATGTGCCAGAGAGGTTTGCAGCCATTTTGCCAGCTGTATTTTTTTGATTAGCTGTCTACTTGTAAAGTGGACACAAACTGTGATCATGAAGCAAACCTGATATGAATGATCTGCTCATTATCAAACACCTTGACAAGCTTCAGCTGCTTGATAACGAGCAGGTCATTCCAATCAGGTGTGTTATAGTCGGGAGATATTACATGCAGGTCAGTGGCTCTCAGGAGCCTGGTTGATGAAATTCAACATTTTTATTTGAAAGGTCTATCCTTTTCATTGGTTTGTCTGAAAAGCAATTTGTGTTGTTTTCTCTCCAATATATGTGTTAAATTATACATTTTGGCCATTTCAAATGTCATCATTTTTGAAGAAAACTGAAAGCCTTTATTGTCATTGCACACACATGGGTTCTTCTGTGTGAATATGAGTGAAATTAATGAATAAATGTAATTGTGCTTACTTGAGTACTTACTTGCATTAATATGAATGTAAATATTGCAATAGTATGAATTGAAATACGCACTAGTATGTGTATACGTACTATAATGGAATAAATTAAGTCCTTGTACAAGATCAAATATTGTTCGTGCGGTGTAACGATTTTCCAAATTCTCGGTTCATTATCTTGTGTTTGTTTTGTTGTGACGAGAGAGAGATGTAAGGCTGATCTGCAACATTAGACCGTGGACGTGCATCGCAGGTTGTGAAACTTTCCTTAACATATGCTTTTTCATTTTGATAAGGTTTCTTTCATGGCATACCATAATATGACGAACCATACAGTATATCAGTATGTCGTAAAAAATGTCAGAGCATATGGCAAACTTCATACTAAAGTACAAAGGCATAAAAGGGCATAGTTTGTTATAAAAAACCTCATAGTATAATATTTTATTAAAAAAAACACCACAGCATAGTATCTTATATAAAAAGCCATATAGTGTAACAAGTAATATGATGTCATACAAATTGTCATTGTATGTCACAATAACAATTTCATAGTAAAGAATGTCATAGGCATATATCATGAAATTCATGAAAAATTGTAAAAGAAAGAGGTCAAAAGTTTAGATAACAAAAATATCTTTACTCTTTTAAGCTTTAACTGACATTTTTACAAATACAAAAATATACATGCAATACAAATGTATTGCACAATAGCTGTGCTTTATTTTAACTGAGCTATGCCTTTGGCAAGCTATTAACAGGCATTACACTGTGCCTTGTCTTTTTATTTTTTAGTGTAGTGGAGCCTCACTTCAGAGCGTTTACCGCGACCCATCTTTGGTGTTATGAAGTGACTGAGCTCGTGAACTGTATACGGGAGGGCGGGGGAGCCTCGCTGCGGGGCAACTGTGGACCTCTGTCGCCTGTCAGCGCAACATGATGCCATTAAGGGCGGTGCCGGCCGTCAGCGTACCGAGCCGGCCGTCAACGGCCCGCTGACGACCGGCCGTTCTGTGATTCTCCAGAACACACAGATGGCCAGTCCGCTATGTATTCCACCGGGTCACCGCAGCGCCGCGGTGCAGACTGACCCGGTGGAATACAGGGTCTACCGCGTTTAGGAACCGTTAAGCAGAACCGAAATTGTGTATTTTGTATGTACCCGGCATTTTCTTATCGGTTCTCCTCTGGAACCGAGTTTCGGTTCCCAACCCTAGTCATAACGTTATAGTATGGACTGTCATGAAGCTAATTGGTTAATAAGTTGCTAGCGCCATAGGAAGTCGAACAAGCAGATATCAGAATTAGTCATTGATAACATCACAGTGAAAGAGATGAATGGAAAAAACCAAAAGCTTGGAGCAAAAACAAGTGAACGATTTAGAATTTAGAATTTAGAATGATGACATCAGCAAAGCATGATGACACCATCAACTTGTGACTCGATTATTGAACTGTATGATGTCATCATTCGCTTTGAAGATGACATCATCAAACCTTAGTAAGAACTCAGGGATTCAGACACTTTCATATCGTTATAACCTCAGGAAGAAGACAGTCCAACTTTAAATCTGCTCTGCTAGGACATCTTACAGGAAAAATGAGTTGCTCAAAATCAGATAAGGATGGGCCTGATCCCACAATACTCCACAGCAGTTCCACACGCTTCATTTTATTGGACTTTGTAGGAGAAGGGTGTTTTGGAAAAGTTGCCAAGTGTGTTAATTTGAAAACATCTGAAACAACGGCAATCAAGATCCTCGAAGACGGAAGAGATGCAAATAATGAATTGAGAATGCTTCTACAAATCAAGGGACTTGACCCAGATAAGAATAACTTAGTGAGATACATGGATAATTTCATGTTCCAAAACAAGTATTGCTTAGCCTTTGAAATGCTGGACATGAGCATTTGGGACCTTTATTTGCAAAAGCAGGAACCATTTTCCCTGAACGAAATCCGCCCTATCACACAACAGCTACTTGTAGCTTTTGAAGCCCTGAAGGGAATTGGCATTATTCATACAGACCTGAAACCGGACAATGTCATGCTTGTAAACCACAAGTCTCAGCCCTTCAGGATTAAATTAATTGACTTCGGTTTGGCCCTCCCAGCTTCCGAAGCAGTGGTTGGTATGGAAATGCAACCTATTTCTTATAGAGCTCCAGAGGTGACCTTGGGTCTCCCTATAACTGAAGCCATCGACATGTGGTCATTGGGATGTCTCCTGGGTTCATTGTATTTTAATACCAACTTTTTCCCTGGAGAATCTACATACGACCAGATGAGAGCTATTTGCCAGCTCCTTGGTCAGCCAAAAAAACACCTGCTAGATGCTGGGATAAACACTTGGCAGTATTTTATCAAGGGAAGGGGCTTGACTCCAGGATGGGAGCTAATGACGCCATCTCAGTACAAGATGGTGTCTGGTGTCCAGCCAGAATTTCCAAGTTGGTATTTTGATGATTTTAAAGATTTGACAGGTGCAGTAATGGAGAAGCCAGAGGAACATAACTATGATACGTCTGAAGACAAGATTACATTGTCAGAGGTTATGCGTGAAGACAAGATGGCATTCTCAGACCTCTTAAATGCGTTGTTCAATCTGGATGGTCAGACTAGGATTACGCCCGGACAAGCCCTAGAACACAGTTTTGTAACAATGGTTCACCTAGAAGATAACATGTATTCTAACCCTCATGCATCAGAGGCCTTTGAGATGATGGACATCTGCACCCTGGATCTTTCAGATGCAATGTGTGATCCTCTCAGCGACCCTGAAACTGACATGAAGGCAACTGACGGTGACTCACCCCCTGAGAGTTCTCGATGTGCTGCCAATTCAAACACTGAGAGACCTACCAATGACACAACCTCTCAGGCAGACCCCTGCAATCCTGAACCCCACAACAACGAGTCAGCACCCGCACCACTTCAGGCACAAAATCCCACAATACTTTACAGCAGTTCCACACGCTTCATTTTATTGGACTTTGTAGGAGAAGGGTGTTTTGGAAAAGTTGCCAAGTGTGTTAATTTGAAAACATCTGAAACTACGGCAATCAAGATCCTCGAAGACGGAAGAGATGCAAATAATGAATTGAGAATGCTTCTAAAAATCAAGGGACTTGACCCAGATAAGAATAACTTAGTGAGATACATGGATAATTTCATGTTCCAAAACAAGTATTGCCTAGCCTTTGAAATGCTGGACATGAGCATTTGGGACCTTTATTTGCAAAAGCAGGAACCATTTTCCCTGAACGAAATCCGCCCTATCACACAACAGCTACTTGTAGCTTTTGAAGCCCTGAAGGGAATTGGCATTATTCATACAGACCTGAAACCGGACAATGTCATGCTTGTAAACCACAAGTCTCAGCCCTTCAGGATTAAATTAATTGACTTCGGTTTGGCCCTCCCAGCTTCCGAAGCAGTGGTTGGTATGGAAATGCAACCTATTTCTTATAGCGCTCCAGAGGTGACCTTGGGTCTCCCTATAACTGAAGCCATCGACATGTGGTCATTGGGATGTCTCCTGGGTTCATTGTATTTTGGAATCTGGTTTTTCCCTGGAGAATCTACATACGACCAGATGAGAGCTATTTGCCAGCTCCTTGGTCAGCCAAAAAAACACCTGCTAGATGCTGGGATAAACACAGGGCAGTATTTTATCAAGGGAAGGGGCTTGACTCCAGGATGGGAGCTAATGACGCCATCTCAGTACAAGATGGTGTCTGGTGTCCAGCCAGAATTTCCAAGTTGGTATTTTGATGATGTTAAAAATTTGACAGGTGCAGTAATGGAGAAGCCAGAGGAACATGACTATGATACGTTTGAAGACAAGATTACATTGTCAGAGGTTATGCGTGAAGACAAGATGGCATTCTCAGACCTCTTAAATGCGTTGTTCAATCTGGATGGTCAGACTAGGATTACGCCCGGACAAGCCCTAGAACACAGTTTTGTAACAATGGTTCACCTAGAAGATAACATGTATTCTAACCCTCATGCATCAGAGGCATTTGAGATGATGGACATCTGCACCCTGGATCTTTCAGGTGCAATGTGTGATCCTCTCAGCGACCCATCTGAGAATGGTGAGACTGATATTGGGGTCACATAAAATCAGCAGTCTTCAGAAACAACCACCAAGTGTGCAGGATGACCTTTAAATACTTCAGCCTGTGCAACCAGGGTTTTCTCCGGGTACTCCGGTTTACTCCCGCTATATAATGATTATGCAAAAAAAAACAATTGGTGATGTGAAATTGTCCTTGTCCTTGTGAATGTTAATGTTTTAGTATGCGTCAGCCCTGTAACATTGATATGGGTTTTATTTGACCCTAGTGTTTTTATTTAATCTGTTACTGCAATCAATAAAAATTCAAAAATTTAAAATGTAAATATATGATTCAATATTTGTCTTGAGAATTGAGGAACAAATTATGATGTAACAACAAGTGATAGTGTAGTATGTCATGAACAAGTCATGGTAAAGTAGATCATACTGAAAATAAAGATGTTTAAAATATATGTTTTCACAGCAATGTAAAACAGCTTATAATACAAAAATGAAATTACCAAAGCATTTCTTTCAAATCATATATTTGTTTTTCTGTGTTTTACCTTGGTATGGAATAGGACTGATTTCAACTAATAGTATTGGTTTTGACTAATGAAAGCTTTAGCGCAAGTTCAATAAGGAAGACCTAACTCGAGTCACTCACACGTCACTCTATGGCTCCCTTCCCCCCTCATTAAATACGAGGGCGTCACCCCTCAGCAGCCAATCGCTGCACATGCTAAATGCCTTAAATGCCTGCTCTTCCTCCCTGTCAGTTGTCATTGCAGATGATCACACGCAACCCGCCTCCACCCCTCTCGCCTCCTGTCTCCTTCAGGACAAAGCTAAACCTTCCTCCTTCAGACCGGTCTCACCTACTCATCACCACCACCAGTGTCTAGACCCCGGGGATTTCATCGGAGCGGTGCTTTCCCTCCTGAATGATTATCCTGCAAACCGGGGCCTAATCGCCAAACACCATTACATTCTCCTGTTGTATTATCATGGCAATCATTTCATTCATATGACGTGTAAACAATAAATATGTAATTCTTACATCACGTCTCTCCGGTTTGAACTACAGTTCTGGGGAAAATCTGGGTGAACTTCTTGGTGTATAATATAATAAAAATGACATTTCAAAAGACTCTCAGGATAAATCCATGAAGACATGAGATTGACTGATATTAATAGACCCTCATGGCAAAAACACATGTTTTATTAATGAGGCCACTCCAGAGAAAGAAATCTTTGAGGATCCTTACCTTCAAAAAGGAAGCTAATCAGTTTATTTTCTAAATCTATTCTTGTGTTTTTTCACTCATATTGTTCTCAATGGAGTGATTATATAAGATACAGGGAAGAAACACAGACACACTAATAGACAGAACATTGAATGTCCTGGCATGAAAAGACTGATGAATATTGACATGCAGCAGACAACAGTGTACTTTGTGTTTGTGATCGTGTGCCAAGTCCTTGCACTGTACGACTGCCCTCAGGCATACCGTACGCTACGATTGCATGTCACTGTTTTTTGTTTGTTTTGCAGACTCACATGGCAGTATGTGTGCCACAATTATGTTTCTCAACATACAAAAGGCAACAGTAGTCAATAAATCAATCTGAAAGAGATCTCTTTCATTGATGAAGTGTGTATACAGTATGGCATACATACACATAATAAAATATGGTTATACTGTTGTAAAATCGAAAAAGATATATACAAGATTACATTATATCTATATTTTGTAATTTGCACAGATGTGTTTGCTTAAAGGTGAAATGAGGAGCTTAATCTTGTAGTGTTGTACATCCTAATGAATCATCAGGATATACGCGTGTGTATGAATGAAACGGAGGTAGATTTAATCTTTCTCCTTCAGAAGGTTTCATCAAATGTATGATTTGATAACACAGGAAATGTCTCAGCCTTTCTGTATACTTTGTTTTCTCCTTAGTTAAGGACATTTTGAAGAGCAAAACATGTTTTAAAAAATATCACTGTGAGCATGTCAGAGTACAGTAAGTCAGCTATATTTCATCTACTGACAGCGAGTGATTTAGTAAACTAACCTCATCTCCAGGTCATGGCTGTCTTGGGGAGTAAAGCTGAACAAGGCCACATAGGTGTTGAGCTTAAGGACATCTTGTTGTAGGTGGATCTGCTCCAACTAAATAACACAGACACACACACAGAAAAACACATGAACACAAACAGATTTGGTTGTCAAGAAGTCTGAAGAAAAAGGAAAACATAGCTGACAAGTTAAACAAAGCTCATAGTCACAAAAATACAATGCAACACCATATTTTCTATTGTCACTTTTCTCGCTTCTTAAAATAGTATGTTGGCATTCACATAGGCAGGAGAAGCCCTTGTTTACTGAACACTGATAGACTGGGCTTATGTTGTTCTGCAATCTGTTCCTTTAATCCACCGTCAACACGAGTGGGAGAAGCAGGATCACGTTTCCATGAACACTCAGGAAGTTAAAACAGGAGAGGGTTGTGGGTGGAGAGGAAGTTGTCAGAGAAGTGTTAGCACAATTAGCGAGGAGACGCGGCGCCACACTGGTGCCCTTCACACCTGCTCCTGGTGGGCGTCTTCTTGATTCATCACCAATACCTATCCGGCGTGCTGTGTCCCTGAAATCCTTCCAAATGATAACTAGCTACTGCATAATTTCCACAGGGAAACTTAGCCAAGATAAATGAGAATTACTTTTTAAGACACACTAATGGCTGTTTTTGAAAGACAGTGGAAGAATTTGCCATCTTTGTGGCACTGTGTCTTTTATGAGGAGAAGTGTTCCTGGTCTTTTGGGGCTCCTCGAGCATCGTCCATGAGGACTGGCAATGTGTGTGATGGATGAGTCGAGTTGACTGCAGCCACAAGGCAAATTGCCTCTGTGGCCTCTGGGTGAAAACAACAGCGTCAAGTAGTGGCAATCCATTACAGCTAAATAAGAGCCGCTCACTGGCCTTGAAAGGCTCTCGATGCTATGGGAGCCGGGAACAGTGCATCGGGTTGAGCAGGTTGAAATAACAGCCTCCTTTGAAACTGAGTTATAGACAGAAAGGCTGCATTTAGGAAAAAGTAAAACAATGAAATGGAAGAACAGCAGGAATTTCTTTAGATCCACAGTTACTGATTGTTTTTTAGCCAATTGGGTGTAGTTTAACAACCTGTGGATACAACTTTAACATATTATCACCTTATAAACTTTTTATGTTGCACATGTCAGCCAACAGCTGCCTGTTTACATGTCTAGCAAACACAGCAACATTTACTCTCCATCTTGCACTGTTTTGCTCGAACATGTTGCTATACAGTATAGCACCTAAATGCTCCATGATGTACTTACTAGTTGCTACAGATGTTTATTTGATCCATTGTTTTATAAAAATATCGATAGGCACAGCTTTAAGGGTAAAGATACGTTTGGCTATTGGAGGTAAAACGTTTTACACTTTAATGAACAAAAGCTGCCTCAAATAAACAGAAAAAGCTCCACCTACAACACAAGCAAACTTCCCAAGCAAAGAATCCACGCAAAAATGAACCATGGCAATTTGAATGTCAATAGATCTTGTGTAGTTTAACACAAAACCTGGAAAGTGTGAACAGATGGGGATCCTGTGTGTGTCTCTCATCTCAAATTGGAGGTTTCATCGCTGGCAGAGAGGCAGTTTGAGCGTTTTCCCCTGCTCATTACCCTGCAGAGCCTCCATCTGTCCGTCCTCCAGCCCGAGCTAATGGAGCGGTCTGCGGACGGACACACAGCCGGCTGCCAGCTGTGCTCGGTCCAGTCTGATAACACAGCACAATGTACTTCAAGTCTCTTCCCCGAAAATGGACGGATGGCATATTGTATTGCAGAGAGGATAGGTGTCTGCATGTGTAGTTTTATTTCCCATGTATGGTTATTTGTTCATTTTTGTGTTTGTCCAAATATCTGTGTGGCTTTTTCCATTGTTGACAACAGAGATAAACATGTTAAACTATAAAAGTAAACATGATAGATTGCTGCACAAAGTGCACAAAGAACATTGATACTGAAAGCACCTCTCCAAAACACTTTGAAAGATAGACAGGAAAAGAGCCGCTTAGAAATCTGCCCATGAAATATTCATGGTTACCCTGCAGGAGGTGCCAAGATATTCAGAGAGGTTTAACCTTTTTCTCCCACCACCAGCATGAATTGTGCAACATTATCACTGCATCTACGGTGTAGAAAATAATACCAGAAACACAGAGCTGCAGATTGAGACGTTACATGACTTCAAAGCTTCTCTCTATCAGTTCAGGCCAGTGCTCTTGTCAGCTCCGGTTTGATTTGTTACAGCAGGAAGATAAGTTTTCCCTCAGAGTCCTGGGAAATCGAGCAGTGACGATTGAGGCGAGGGGCAAAGAGCAGCGAGCTTATTGGAGGCAGAACCGACTGGCTGGGTATTAGTTCTCAGAGTGACCATGAAGAGTTCAGGCACTGGTCAGTAACAAAGTCTGTTCTCAGAGGTTGTCAGACTGCACCAATAATACTCATTACTGTACTGACTGTGAGTCCCAGAATAGCAATCACTGTGATGACCAGACTGCTTCGCTTGCAATTCCTCTAAACACGTATTGTGCATTAAATCTGTAATACAGTATGTACAAAGATTAAAATGGATGTGTTTCTTACCGGCAAGTCGTCAGGACTTCTCTCTGGCTGGAGGTAATGCTCATTTCCGTTCTCGATTACTGTGAAAACTGTATACAAAAATAAAGACTAAATGAAATCAAATGAATCCAAGAAGTTAGATTGAATTCTACAATGCTAGTAAAGGCTGCAATGTCTAAAAGATGATATGTTGGACACCAAAAAGACACACTAGGAATAGTTTAAAACCTTACCAGAAACATGGAAGATATTATACATTAAGTTTAATTATGAGAAATTGTGACTGTGTCTGCCTTGTGTTTTCTTCTGTGGTTCACACATTTTCAAACTATCTATTTAAAGATAGTTTATAGTTTTATTTTTCAATGAACTAAAGCACGTTCAAGAAAGCAGAGCAGTGTCATGGCCCAAAGGTGACCCTGGCTCAGAACATAATGTATTCTTTAGTAGGGTCAGGTGGTAATCTCTAAAGGAAAGGGCCAGGTAGGTACTACCTTGGTTGGCTTGAGCATTTACCTTGTCGTCCTTTCCTTCCCTGCCTAGTGAACGCTCCAGATTATAACGGGTCAGTGCCTTGACCTTCACTGCATAGACTATTGTGCAGCTTTTAAATAAAGAGCTACACACAATGCAGACCAAGAAAAAGAGAGGTCCTAATGTTTTTCTACAGGATACTCTATAGCCGGGTCAGAGTTAGGAAACACAACAAAAGGAGCAAAGAAAAGCTTATTTAATGGTTCAACGGAGGACAATTTGATGTCGCAACCTTCTCAGACTCTCTTGGTGGGTGAGCGTGTGTTTACCCTGTGTCACTGCATGGCTGTAATTCAGATGTAATCAATGTACCGCAACAGATACTCACCATCATCGCTGTGTTTTCTCGACAGCTCCTGCCTGCTGCTGTGAGCCACCACTTCCTCTGGAACATTATCCAAGTCATTGGTCTGCAGAAAGAAAAGATAAAACAGATTAGAGATAGGGAGATATATTAACAGAAGACTCTGAGGAGAAAACTAGCTAAAAATGAATCCACTTTCACTGTGTAACCCGCTAACTGCGAGAAAACTGTTTCCTAGTCCGCATTTGGAAACTATTATCATAACCCCTGTGGAGATCACATTGTCTCTGAGAGCCTACACACACACACACACACACACACACACACACACACACACACACACACACACACACACACACACACACACACACACACACACACACACACACACACACACACACACACACACACACACACACATTCACTAACAGCTGCAGTGGACAGGACAGGATGGCCAACAGCTTTCAGATGTCATCTTACGGAGGCACGTATCCAGACATGTTAGCTTACACTAAAAAGTGATAAGCAATGAAAAACAGAGTTCCTTGTGTATTACAGAGATGAGAGGAGGCTGGAGAGTGTAGCCGTACACTACAATCATCCCGGCCATCTTCAGAGCTGTAACATGAGCCTTTGCACCTGTAAGAGAATATTTTCAACTGATCTGTTTATAGAGTTTCTTATTGTTTTATAGAATCTGTGATACTGCAAACATCTGCTTGTAGTCAGTCAAAGACCCCTGTGTAGGTTGAGGCTTGTCTGGATCTCTTTGAGACAAGTAGACCATTGTCTCACATCTGCTACTAATTAGGTATACGCGGGCTTTCTGGGAGCCCGCCTCTCCTCGTGTTGGTTAGATGTTTTGTGTCTTTTGGGGCAGAGATTACCTTGGTGGAGCACAAGGACAGTGTGAAACTAGGATGATCCCCGGCCGTATGTAATTGTCTGTCTCTCAATAAATATCAGTGTATTGACGGGTGAATCCAGTTTCCCTCATTTCATGATGCGCTCAACATTGCTGCAAAGAAGTTTTTACTTCACAATTGGCGTCGCGAACGGTTACCAACAAATCGTCGAGCTGGTGAGTGTAATTTCAAATCTATATTTTGACATTGCCTCGCCAGACTCTGTGATTGACGGTATAAAATTACCTGTGGAACAGATAGATGCAATATTTTTGGTTTCCTCTGTGTGTGTGTGCACGGCAAATATTCGGAGAGACCTTAAAGAGGGCATCAGTAATGTGGAACTTCGGTTTAAAAGCAATGTAAAGATTTGTACTGAAACGAATCGCCGAATTCTGGAGATTTCAACGGTTTAACTAGTTAAATCAACTCGCCTCGAAATGTTCCTGTTGCTGCTGTGGGGTGCAGGGTGTGGGTAATTCCCCTCCCCCCCCCCCCTGTGGGGAGCAGCACACACGGGGATAAACAAAGCACAGTGTCGTATCTTCTTAAATCGCACCATTATGAGTTTTGGAACTAAACAGAACTCTTATTAACGGGAAACGTGATACGAAATATTACGTCACGCTGTGTTTCATAAACTGAGGGGTTGTTGAATTTGGCTGTTGTTAAAATAAAGGGTACTGAATTCATTAAAAGTCTCTGCTCTCCGGATCGGGGAGGGCAGAGCACCACTAAATTAGCATAGTGGTTGTTGATTGAGAATAATGTGGTTATTACTCTTCAGCAGATTCCGTTCTTAGAATTAATTAAATTAATTAATATCTCTGCTCTCGGTCGGTTGAGCAGTTTTACCACTACATTTGCATAGTGGTTTTGATTGAGAATAAGGTCGTTTATTGCTCATCAACTGAATTAATGTTTAACAACACAGATTTGTATTTTCTGTTAATCACACCATAAGCTCAAGAACTAAATTGAGCTATTAAATGGGAAGGGTGGTGGCAGAATATTACATTCACACTGTGTTTAATAAACTTACGGATTATTGAATTGGATTTTGTTTAAAAAAAATTAAAAATTAAAATAATTTAAAAAAAAACAATAAGTAAAAATAAGTACTGATATTTTCCCTACCCCCGCTGAAGTTTCCCTAATTCGGATTAAAATTAAACTGGATGAGTTTAGCTGTCACCTGATATTTGTTGCGGGTTCATGTTTGTTTGTATAATTGTTTCGTGTTTGTTTGTATACCTGCCGTCTTGTGCATGTTTTTGTAACAACTAATAAATTAATCAGTCCACAGCCAAGGTAAAATGAATCTAAATTTCCGCAAAAGGAAAATAAATAGCAAAAAAGCCTCTGTTTTACACCCGGGAACCTCAGAGGCATAACTGCGGGTCATCTGTCTGCTCAAATAGGTCAATGTTGTATTATTTGTTTCATTTATTCTTAATCTATGTATTGTATGGTAATAATGAAAATAAAATAACCTAATGTATTGAACACATTCCGAAACAAAGCAGATAAGACAAGACTTAGACACAATGGTGATTGAACCTTTTTGCACGATTGATGCAAAATGAAAACTTTGTCATTATCTGTTTCCAACTGGCCACTGGAATCAGATAATGGATATGAGTTGAAGTTCAATTACAGTTTTAAATATAGTTCAACATTCTTTATTTAACTGTTTGAAATTATTTCTAGTCAAAATCCCCTCCTTTTCTATACTCTGCTTGGTGCTGCAGAAGAAGAAAAAATAAAATAAAACGCAAGACACGGGGTCAGAGACAGGCGTGACCTCTGGAAGGAGAAGATAATCTGAAGCAGATCACGGCGCGACCCATTGGGGGTTTTATGACCACAGCACAAAGGAAGATCTCATTTCAGCAGTCAGTTTTTTTTTGGCAGAACTTTTGAGCATTTTTCAAATGTCTTTTCTTGCCTCTGTGCAAGGCTTAGTCTTTCTATCTGTATTGCCACTGGTGTAAAGTAACTAAGTTCATAAACTTAACAAGTCCTATACTTGGGCACAATTTTGAGATACTGGTACTTTATTTGAGTATCTAAAATGTTTTGCTGCTTTATTTTTCTACTCCACTACAGTTCAGTGGTACATGGTGTACTTTTACTCCACTACATGTATTTAATACCTTTAGTTACTTCACAGATGTGGATGAATGATGTGAAATATAACCAAGTGTTGAATCAGATTTTAGTTCCACCTGGAGTAAATCCACCAGCTACCCTGCAGTATACAAAGTCATTTAAACTAGCTGCACCTTTACCAGCTTTGAGAACACTTTCATGATCAATCATTATAAAACATATCATATATATTATTCTGAAATAAACCAATCTGCACAACGACTACTTTTACTGTCGCTATTTTCACTATATTTTAATGACAATACTTTTATACTTTTACTTGAGTAACATTTTGAATGCAGTACTTTTACTGTAACTTAGTATTCCTACACTCTGGTACTTCTACTTGTACTCAAGAACAAGATCTGAGTACCTAAGCTAACGTTAGCCAGAAACCTTCCATTTTGACACAAAGAACAATGGGGTAATTTCAAAGTAATTCGAAGTAATTCACACAGCCTCTTCCCTATGGGAGGAGCAGCAGTTTCAGCTTCATTTAAATATGTCGCGTAGTTATAGATGGATTTATTTTTTCCTCTAAAAGAGAGAATGTGTATTTTATGTTAGTATTTCAAAAAAATCTCCTGGGGGAGAATCCCCCCAGACCCCCTGCGGGGGTTGGGTTTTCAGCATGTGAACTCTTTCACTTGTGAGGAAATGGCAGGATTGGCTCCAGGTCGCCTTTTTATTTACTACAAGACAAATGTTTTTATTTTATTTTAATTTCATACAGTTCAATTTGGATTGAGACAGGGAAATATTCTAAACCTCACGCGTGGCGTTTCACTGACAAGGGGGCGATATAGCGTGTATGTAATTACATTTCAAATACTGATTTGAGCCCCACCACTGTATGGGTTAGCCCTACCATAGATTATCTAACACAAATACTCGGGAGCCGATAAGTCAATAAGTTGCTTATCGCGACAGGCACACAATAAAACAGTGGAAACAAACATGTGTTTGACTTTCATTATTTAATGAAACTGTGTGCCCTTTATAGTCTGTGTCCAATATTGTGTATTTGTATATATATATTATATATATATATATATCCTAAGTATATGCTAAGGTCCCGCTACGGACACGATAGCAGTCGCTTCGTGCGCATGTGTGTAATTAAACCCATGATATCAAAATCTCACTCCAGCCAGGTACCCAAAGTTAGCAACCCTGTCCATACCCCAATTATATTTTATTGATGACAAGTTTGCATCCCTGCCTGTTATCGTTTTCATCACGGAGCTAAAAAAAATGGTGTATTGATTACTGATCTGTGCAAGTCAAATTTGTTAACTGACTTTGGTTCTAATGTTAATGTTAATTTGATTTCAACCCATAAGATTAGGCCAATGGTAAAGAGAGACATTTATGACCCTGTGTCCTTTTTGTTAGCACGTGGTTCCATTTTGTCTAATGGCGTTGGACAGCTTCACTAAGAGTCACCCAGTTCTACCCTGCTACAGTCCGGCTGAGTGCAGTCACAGAGATGCTATGGCTGCTCTACATGACATTAATGGTTTGGTCCGAGAATGGACACCATTTCCTGCTCCCAGAGAGAATGACGCTCCTCACACTGAACAATACAGCCATTGACACTGTCTCACGTGGGTCTGCTCCCCCCCCACCGAGCCATGAACTGGAAGCTGGAACACTTGGAACTGTCACACCAGCACCAACCCTTGGGTCAGTTAGATGAGACTAACGGCTTCACTTAGGGCATATGGGTCAGAAATATGACTCTCGTTACCACGGAGTGGGTTGTTTGTTTTTTTAAGGCTATTCATACTGCTATGCAGAGTGAAGAGCCCCTACTATTTTAACAAATAGACCTGATGTCAGGGGCCTCTTACTGTCTACTTCTGCATGTATTCACATTATATGGACCATGTTTCCACCTGTTGAAACTAGGGCTGCACGGAACTCAGGCTACAATACAACCATTTTGTTCTGCTCTAACGATTCAATTTATAAATTCTACATCAAAATAGTTCGTTTTTATTGTTTCCAATGATAACGTCACCTTAAGTGGAGGAATGCAAACCTGTTTTAAAATGTAAGGTTTTGAATTTCTTTGACATTTCTCAGTAATGACACCCTCAGACGCCCACTATCATTTATGCCAGTGGTTCCCAAACTTTGTTGTGCCCAAGGCACACCAAAGGACAAGTAAAAATCTCAAGGCACACCTATTGTGAAAAGATAGCCCTTATAACACGTGTTATCACTCATATTATGTAAAGTATCTGTAAATGTGCATAATTATTTACTAATGCCAAATAAAATGTGACAAAGACAACTATATTACGAAATATTTCCGAAATTAATTTGAAACTTTATCAAATTAGGCTTCATCAAAGCAGCAACACACTCATTTACACCAGACAGGTCACAAAATAGAAAATGAGGCAAAGGAAACTCAGCAGAAATTCAGCACAGACA